CATCTAGCCCAGTAGCCTGTCTGCCGACAGTGGCCAACCCTAGGGACCCTGGAGGGGATGGACCTAAGACAGTGACCAAGCCATTTGTCTCGTGCCATCCCTCTCCAGCCTTCCACAAATCTTGGGCAGGGACACCACTCCTACCCCCTGGCTAATACCACTCCATGGACCCAGCCTCCATGACTTGATCTCACTTCCCTTTAAACTCTGTTCTAGTTGTAGCCTTCACAGCCTCCTGCAGCAAGGAGTTCCACAGGTTGACTCTTTGCTTTGTGAAGAACAACTTTCTTTTACTAGTTTGAAGCCTGCTACCCATTCCTTTCCTTTGGTGTCCTCTAGTCCTTCTTTATGGGAACTAATGAAGAACTTTTCTGTATGCACCCTCTCCACCCCACTCATGCTTTTCGAGACCTCTATCCTGTCCCCCCTCCGTCTTCTCTTTTCTAAGCTGAAAAGTCCCAGTCTCTTTAGCCTCTCTTCATATGGGACCTGTTCCCAACCCCTGATCATTGTAGTTGCCCTCCCCTCTCCCGGCCATCTCCCAGCCTCTCTCTTCCCCTCTCCCACCTCCTTTTCCCAGTCTCCCCCAGTTTTGTTCAATAAAGACAGATTCCATTTTGGAAGACACGTTATCTTTATTTTGTACATCAAGAAGAGGGGCTAGGGAAGGGTAAGTGGAAGGAGGTGAGGGAGGAATGGGGCACGAGCCCCCGATGGGGAGGACTGGGCTGGCTCTGCGGGCTTCTGGGGGTGGAAGCTCTCCTGCAGCCCTCCAATTGCCCCCCTCTCTCCAGATGGCAGCCTGCGGCAAGTGCAGCCAGGCTGATGACCGAGTGGTGTGATGTGCCCAGTGTGGGTAGTCCGGGCAATCCAAGCCAGGACTGCTTCCGGCCATCCTTAAGCCCGGTTCAGGGTCCACTTAATGGGGGCATGCTAGTTCGAATTAGCTAAATGCTAATTCGAACTAGTTTTTTAGTCTGGATCCATTAGTTCAAATTAGCTTAGTTCGAATTAACGTTGTAGTGTAGACATACCCTTAGTAAGTAGCTATTCAGTTTTTTATTTTCTACTTATTGTTCAGTGTGTGGTCCCTAATATTATTTACTCTTCAAATCTTGCTCTGAATATAGAATTCATAATTTCCTAATTTACTTAGATATAACTGGGAGTTGTAAGTTTGAAAAGGAGTCAACTTATAGATTTGCCATGATGCCTGTTAGATTTTAAAGTTGAACTCTAACAAAGTAGGTTTACAGATATATTGTAGAAGCGATGAGGAGTCCTGTGGCACCTTATAGACTAACTGAAGTGTAGGAGCATAAGCTTTCGTGGGCAAAGACCCACTTCGTCAGATGCATGTGTAGATATATTGTAGAATCAAATGGGATAACCCTCTTTTTATTGGGCTAGGGAGCATTAGCTCACTAGTTAACACTGGGTTTTTGGCAGGTCAAATTGTAACTTGAACATTATTTCTCAAATCAGGTCACCCAACAATATATTAATTCATCCAGAACAAGCAAGTCACCACACATTCGTAGACAAAACAAGTTATAAGTACTACACACCCAATGCATTCTCACAAGCGATTATCACAGACTAAATTTGAAGCTCAGCATTTATACCAAAGAACAAGGCAAATTACAAGTATTTCTTATTGCATTTACTTATGATAATCAATTTTCAATTCTTTGGTGCATAACACAT